GAGTGTCCAAAGGATGTATATCATTTTTATGAGCATGCTGTGGGTGTGTTACTTCTGCTATCGGTCAACAACAAAGATGCTCAAGATGAACCTCAAGCACATTCAGATCACATTAGCTATGTGAACTCCTACATAATATAAACTACTGTCTCTTTGAGTGGGGCAATGAAGGCCCAGAATTGTCTCCTCTAAAAACACAGGCATTTAACTGAGACACATAATCTAGGAAAACAGCAGACACTCCAGAGGGAGAAAGAAGGGCAGGGCGCAGGAAAGGGAAGGGAAAGGAAAGGAAGGGAAGGCAAGGCAAGGCATGGCAAGGCAAGGGAAGAAGGAAATGTTACTTCCAGGAGCAGACTACAGCTACTTCTAATTGTGAGCTTCTTACTCAGAAATGTTCAAAATAAGATGGAGAAATATTGAAAGGGTCCAGAAATATGTAACATGTTTTCATATAACAAAGTATACGAAAAGCTTTTGCTTTGGATGTGAGCCTGTTGGGAGTCTATATTCATTAGTCCAGGTGTTAAGATTGGAAAAGGAGGAGTGAGGGAAAGTTAACAGTCTCCTGGTCACATTTACTATTCGTGGAGTGTTATTTGGCCAGTTGAAGTGCTGCCGTTCATTCAGCAACTTAACTAGTCTATTAATGTACAGACTGGAGGGCACTTTTGCAAGGTTCTGACATGTACTGCAATTTTTGGTATTTTTCAGAAGTAAAAAAGGAGCAATCAAACATTACCATGTGCACAAAACCACTGAAAACAAGTATTATCTCGCTGAAAAATACTGTTTTGAATCAATTTCCAAGCTTGTTCACTACCACCAGCACAACTCAGCCGGTAATCTTCTGCACTTTTTATACTTGATTGGCTTTGGCTTAGACTGCTGGGCTTCTTAGAGTTATGGTGAATCTCTTCCAAAACTTCCTATACTGAATACTTGACATACTAAAACTTAATCTTTTGGGATAATTTCAGGGGAGCCTGATCTGCCATTTTCACAATTAGTTGCTTTGTTTTATTGTACCTCTGATATTATAATATCCCTTCTTGAAATACCTTTGCTAGACTAGCATTTAAATACAGGATATTTTCAGTCTCAGGAAGTTATGTAGCTATGAACTTTTTCACTCACTACATAGTTGGAATGAGTATAATGGGAAATCTCTGTGTTTTCTTTATTTCAAAAGACTCATTTATACATTATGATCTGTAGCATGTTCTCTTTGTAGGTATGGTGACAAGGCTCCGGCATGCAGTGTCTACCCAAGCAAATAAGGTCCCAGCCACAGCCTCATTAGGAAATGGTATGAAGATGACTTTCCTTTCAAAGTTGGTGGCAGTCTTGGCCACCAGGAAAACAATAACCAGGAAATTAATAAGAGAAGGTTCCAGAAACTTTGAACTCTTTGTGTGGTGGCCATTTCAATTCTCCATGCAAGAGCCGGTGCAGAGACTCCTTTCGTGCAAGATGTTTGGGTCCTCTCCTCTCCTCTCCTCTCCTCTCCTCTCCTCTCCTCTCCTTTCCTCTCCTCTCCTCATGCCAGAAGAGCACTGAGGATTAAACATTCTGAGAAATGTGCTATCTCTCCCTAACAGTGCAGCTAACCTACATCTAGGGCAAGGTGAATATGAAGGCACTGGCAGATTTGATCTCTTCCATCCAAGTCCTTTTTGCCCCAAGAGTCCTTATATGCTCCCTTCCCCAGCATGTCTACATCATGGCCATTCTTTCCTTTACCATATTACCTGACACAACAACACTTGTTTTTCTGTCCCTTACCTCAAAATTTATTATCATTTGATGCATAAATATTACTCAGAACTGTTTATGAGGCTACAAGCAAGCAAGGAGCACTATATATATATTCCTACAAGTATATATATATATAGAGTCTCCTGTTGTAACTCAAACACAAAGCTGAGCAACTAGTATCTTGCTTGCATCCTTTGGGGGATTGGCTAGATGATCTCTAAAGGTCCCTTCCAACTTTAAGGATTCTATGATTCTATGATCCTGTTACTCTACAGAAGAAAAAAAAAAGGCAAGCATGTGGGGGATACTGTGCCTACCTTTGTCCATTTTTCTGATAAAGGGATTTTTTCTTTTTATCCCATTAGGAGTTTGGGAGCTGAAACGAGAAGAAATTGTATTGTTGAGAGAACTAGGGAGCGGTCAGTTTGGAGTGGTGCATCTTGGAAAGTGGAAGGGACAATATGATGTGGCTGTAAAGATGATCAAGGAGGGAGCAATGTCAGAAGATGAATTCATAGAAGAAGCTCAGACCATGATGTAAGCTATGACATTTATTAATTATTTGGAAACAGTGATCTCTCCAAAGATTTACCAGAAATATATAGCAAGCATAGATAACAGAATTGTCCCTTAAGAATATCATTAATGAGCATTAAATACCTTAGGGACAGACTAAATAGGCATCCACATAGGATATTTAAAGAGATAGCATAAAACTTGACAAAGATTTATGGAGTCACCTACAAAAGGTTTTCAATTAACATCTTTTTCACAACTTTAGAGTTTCTGCATATGTCACTTACTTAAAATTATGCTTCATTATTTAAAAGTGCAATTTTATAGGAATGGGTAGAAAACCACTCCTGTCAGAAGCAGGTGGGAATGAAATACAGATAAGTAACTGTGAAATGCCAGAAATATGAATATTCGACTTCAGTTTTTAGTCTCTGATGCACTTCTAGTAAAATTCTGAGATTAAAAAATGAAGCACTTGAATTCAAGAACACTTTGGATATTTTGCTGTGAAGTTTCATTAGACATCCTTAAGGTGTAAGGTCTACTCGACCAACTTAACTCTCTTCTTTCACTACAGTAAAATTTGCATATTTGACTAATATATACATCCCGTTTCAGATTTTGACTGCAAAGTTGTCATTGTCATCAATGCTTACTTTTCTTTTGATTGTCATCAATACTTAGTTCTATAGCAATGAGCTGAGGAAGACTCTTCTTGAAAAGGAACATTTTCAAGTCTACAATGGGACTGCGTACAGTCTCAAGCATTTTTTTTCAGCTTGCTAATTTGAAAAGGAACATTTTCAAGTCTACGATGGGACTGCGTACAGTCGTCTCAAGCATTTTTTTTCAGCTTGCTATATTAGTATTTTAAGATCAAAACTTAAATAAATGTGCAGCAATATATATTCTTTTTTTTTTCCCCCCCAGGAAACTTAATCATCCCAAGCTTGTTAGACTGTACGGTGTATGCTCAAAATCGTATCCCATCTACCTAGTAACAGAATACATGCCTAATGGCTGTTTGCTTAGCTACTTAAGGAGTCATGGGAAGGAACTGCAACCTCTTCAGCTTCTGGAAATATGTTATGATATTTGTGATGCTATGGCCTTCCTGGAGAGCTGTCAGTTCATACACAGGGATTTGGTAAGCTGTCCCACTGCATTCCATTTGTGGCAGGCATAAACCTCAAAGATTTATGTGCCACTGCACAGGCATACCCTATTGTAAAATTAATTCACTGAAATAAAATATTCTATCCAAAACAAAGAGGCGCAAAATTAAAACTTGTTGTCACTTAGATTGTTTCAAATCTTCAGGTTGTCTTGCTGACACTTTCAAACATTTGTTTGTCTATGTAAGTAGATTGTTAAATCCATAACTCACTCATTTTCCCACTCAGATTCAGAAAGCAGGTGTGTCAGACAATTTAGGTAAAAAAATTCAAGTTGCAAATATAAAATCAGTTTCTGAAAAGTGGCTGTAGGAAAACAGAAACAAACCTGAACTTGACTTCGATTTCAGGAGCATAGACACAAACATCACAAAGATGAATAACCATACTGGCAGAGAGGTCAGCCTTAGATAAATGTTCACAAGTGATCATTTACAGAACTAGGTTCATACTGACCTTCCCTAAATCAGACTATTTAAATCATCTTTCATTACTCCACTCTTTGTATAAGGCATTAGTTAAATCAATGTGCATCTGTGTTTCCTGGCCCCTCAGTGTCCTTCGTGAAGCTGAGATACTGGTAAATAATATTTTTTGATCAATGATAGAAAAAAGAAATAAGACAGATAGTTGTCCTTGCTTTTCCAAATTTAAATGCCTCAATCAGAGAATTACATTATTCCTTCAAATGCTACTGGACAGAAATATTTATTAGAAAATGACCAAGACCATACCATAATGTTGCTTGTTCATCTTTGGATTTTTTTCTACTGACCGGTTTTCTTATTTTGTTACTAAAGGCTGCTAGGAACTGCTTGGTTGACAGCAATCTTACTGTGAAAGTATCTGACTTTGGGATGACTAGGTAAGTAAAAGAACTGACAGCCTTCTGAATCTACAGTCAATATACATATAGCTTGTTGGCACTGATTATCTGGTGACTCACTGTTAGAAAAATTAATCCATAACCTATTATTGGCTTTCCACTGGAATAAAGTTACTCTGCTGTCTCAAAAGTTAGTGCACGAAAGCCACTGAGAGATTTCACTACTCATGTTTGTTAAAGAAATTCTAAAATTTGTTTTGTATACAAAATTATATGTATAATGCCCGCTGTGAAGATATTCACCTAATACGGGGGCAAACATCTTCATCAACAATCTCAGTGTGGAGAAGCTTGAGAGGATGAGCGGCCTAGAGCATATGTCTTCTAAGAGGCTGAGGAAGTAGGGCTTTCTTAGTCTCAAAAAGAGAGGCTAAGAGCATACTTAAAAGTTGCCTACAGCTTCTTCCAGATGAGAGTCAAATTACTCTTAGCGGTGCCAAATAGTGTAACAGGGGACACTGACCATGTATCATAGTTGTAGAGGTTCGGCCTGGAGAGTCAAAAAACCTGTTTCATCAGGAGAGTGGTGCAGCACCAAAACAAGTTACTCAGGGAGATTGTGGAATCACCATCCTTGAAGGCTTTTCAGATTTAATTACAGAGCCACGGCTGACCTGACAAGGTGTTAGGAATAATCTCACTTCGAGCAGGAGGCTGCGTTGGATGATCTTAAAACACCCATTTTTATGATTCTATAATTTTTCTCTTATAAGTTCATAGTAATAATCTCTTCTTTGCTTTGTAGGTATGTTCTAGATGACCTGTATATAAGTTCACTAGGAACTAAGTTCCCAGTGAAGTGGTCAGCACCAGAAGTTTTTCATTATACCAAATATAGCAGCAAATCAGATGTATGGGCCTTTGGTATGTATGGATTTTGACATAAAAATGTGTATGCATATTCATGTAGATATGTATGCTTATGCAATCAGGCTTGGATTTCCTTAGCTTACTAAGCAGAAATGCTAGGAATTCACACACTGGCAACATATAAAAAGCAGTTCATATTCTTGTTTAATATTTTTATCCATCCAAACCCTATCTCTCTTTTTTTTTTTTAATATCTCCCTTGGTTTTCTTTCTGGTACATAGAAACTTGGTCTGCTCACTAGTTTTTTGTATGCATTTAATATGGTGCAACAGAGTAAACTGTTGGAAGTGGAGATGAAACAGGATCTTTGGATGTAGAGGATAAATCTGTGCTGCCCAAGTCAAAACAGCTTTTCTTTTAGTTTCAGAGGTTAGAATGAACTCTGTGCAGGAACAAGCTGCGGGAGAGGATCTAGGAGCTGGGATTGTGTATCTCAGAATAAAAAAGAAGCATTTGCATCTCTTTCAACTCATAAAATTCAAACATTTGAACTTTTACTTCAGTGATTTTCAGGCGGTGTTTACAAATTTCTGCAGTCTACTTAGTGCATTTGCGAGCCTGCAAAAAGTAACAGGGAAAAAAGGAACATTTTATCAATATGCTTAAATTATGTGCTCATATATATATGAGACTGCTCCTACAGTAGAAAAATTATAGCAGAAACCAGGTTGATGAAAGCTTGACAGTCCACTGTTCTTGTCAAAATCTGGCATTGAGCCATGGTGAATAAAATAGATGAAAGTGTTTACAAATGCTGTTGCTTCTTATCTTAACTTCAGTTAGTCTCTCAGTATCATTAATGGAAGTCTGGCAGAAAGTCAGCTTACTTATGCCCTTTACAAGTTGTTTACAATGTATACCAATTACATCAGAAGCCGGATTTTTTTTTCTGGTGAACATGTTTCTTTTTGGTTTTATGGATGAAATCCTGACTCCAGGTGTTGGTAACTTCAACACTGGCCTTGACTTCAATACCAAACCAAATTTTGGAAAGATTTCTTACTTTTACGCTATCCACTGACACAGTAGAAGGAAGCGGGGAGATTGGCTGTTTTTAACTAATGAGTCTTTGGAGGGCTAAAGAGCTGAGCTGTTGTAGTCATATCTCCAAAGCAGATGTCTGAGAGCAAATGGTTGTAACTTTTAATGTTCTGTCAGGAAAGTTGGGATCCAAGTATCATTTTTATTCTGGTCTCGTTGTCATTCTACAGTACTCTCCAGTCTTCAGGCTGGAGGAAAGTCAAAGGTCCAGTAAATTTCTTTTGGGAGCAATTTTTACAGCTAGGGTTACATAAATATTGTGAAATAATAAAATAATCATTTTTTAAATATTTACAATTGACACGATTATCCCGAGTTCAGTTAGAATAGAACATTGTTTATTGAAAACCTGTCATTATGAATTAATGATGATTATATTACCCAATGTTTCAATTGGTTGCATATAATCCAGTTTTTCTGATTGCATTTGGAAGTGTTTTGTATGTACATGTCTTATTCACTTTGAAATATCAGTGAAAACTTTCTGACAATTTATTCTATAAAAACATAAATATTTACATCTTCCCTTTCCTTTTTTCCTTCCTTCCCACACTCTCTTTCTTTTTCTTTGCATCTGCACATACACATACACATATAGAGAGATGTTTGTATGTATTTGGTAAAAAATACAGTCAGTGGATAAGCATATCTTAGGTTTTGTCCATTATTGTCCACATTAAGTCCAGCTATACAAGCACCATCTAACTTCACCTCCTACTACACTGGAAGTCATTAAAAGTCATTTTACATTTGAGCAGAGGATCACACTCAAGCTATCTCCATACACTTCTCAGGACAATGTTCT